CGATGTATGACATTTGCATATTTTAAAAATATATATATATATATCATTTTTCTAAATGTTTCGAATGTTGCCATTCGAAATAGATTCATTTTTATTTATATCATTGCCACTGAATACATTTGATTATAAAATTGATGAGTGCATACGTCGACTAGTAGGTGTATACATTCATTAAACTAACGCATTTACTATAACACGCGTATAACTGGATGTATACGTATGTCATAGTAAATGGAAACAACAAATATAATATACGAAGAATTTTTTCGACGTACATTCGCGAATAAATACACTACTCAAAATGATTATGGCATTAGAAAATTCGTATCTAAATTTACCCAAGTTTGCAAAATGATTGAGACTTAAGCTTCCTAATAGACAAGTTGAAAAAAATAAAAAAATCGTACATATTCAATTCTTCTCTTCAATTAAAAGCGAAGAATCAAGTCTTAATTTACCATAAACGAAATGTGTTCGTTGTCAAACATTCCTTCAGTTTCAAACATGTCCTCAGTTTTTAGAATTAAAAATTTCTGCATAGCATTTTAAAGCAGACGTTTTGGGCTTTTAAGAAAAAAGTGTTACTGTCTTAATAATCATCTTTAAAACTCGGGCGATTTTCGACACAAACTTCGTAATACCAGAATTTCGTTTTATGTATTTAAAAAATATCTGAACGTCTTATAACAAATTATTCTAAGGAATATTTCAGTATCATGCAGCAAAGGTATATGAAACGTTGTAGTAAGTAGCACGTACGAAATTAAAATTAACTTAATTAGTAATCTGTTAATAAACGCCCTAATCATCGTAATTATCATTAGTTTCCTGCTTAATCGCAATTATCTTTGAAAGATATGCATTTTCTTCATTTCCATTAACTCGTACTATTGTAACTTTCACTTTCCTCTCTCCTAGTTTACAAAAATTCCTACAATATCATTATTCAATCACAAAGAATGATTAAATCGTGTACAGTTACGCGTCTACAGTCCCTAAATAATAATTTACAATGGACCGCAAATATATAT